TGAATAGTTTTGTAGTGATAACTGAAGCAAAGATAAGGCATTACTTCTGGAGGTCTTCTTGAGGAATGTGATGAGAATATCGACCGATTCCTTCACTGTCTTCTCTGTCAACCAATTCAAGAGTTTAACCATTTTGTGGTGTCTTTTGCCGACGTGAAGTGACTTTCGTTTCCTCCGACTATAAGTCATAACTTCTGGAATGGCGTTAAATATGTTGTCGAAGACGTATGGGTCGACCCAATCGTTGCCCATTAAAGTGCTGAACAGCGGAAGAATCTCTCTCTTGAGTCCCGGGAAGTATTCGATGAGATTGTCGATGAGAAACAGATCGCAATCCATTATGAATATTCATAACCAAGACAGCAACCCTAGCGATATTCTCAACTGTTAGTTACCTAACTACTCGCTTAGCTACCTTTACTGCGGTTTGCACTCTAGTTTCTGTTTCTTCAGCGACAGTAACCTCAGAACGGGACACATGAGGTGATTGGCGAGACGTGCGATACAAGAGTCCGCTTCGTATGGGCTATGGATGTGACAGACATCGCATTCACTCAGTATTTGCTGAAACACTTGTTTGCAAAGCGAGGGTAAGATCTTGTCGTCACATAAGTTGCCGCGAGATATGTGTCGAGCGCTCTTCAGATGCTTCTGGAATCGGTCCACAATTGTCTTCATCTTCTGCTGCGACGGATCGATACCGCCGTCGAAGACAACGACCGCCCGAACGGAGCACTTGTCCAGCGATTTGAAGAAGTGGTGAAGAGTGGAGGCGTAACGACAATAGTCTCCGCCATAGATGTAGTCTTTGGACTCACGACACGACAAGTAGTACAACGAGTTCATCAAATTGTTGCCATCGATCACGAGGTCCTGAGAGTGCAAGTGATGTCTGCACAACAGATCCGAGTTATTCTCGATGAAACTCTTCAGGCCTCGGATTCCCATCCCTTTCGATTCACTGCTTATAAGCCGTCAAAAGTGACCACAAATGCAAGTCTTCGTGTCTTCGCGTCTTCGCGAGTCATCTCTTGCATCAAAACATTCACTGTCTGTCCGTTCACTCTATGGTGTCCTTCACTGCAAAGCACTCGCGACTCATTCCATAGAGAAATGCATTCAACAAATGCCGAGCAGTGAAGCAAATGTTGGCCTCCGAAGGGGTTTCAACACGTTTTCGCGAATTGCAATAAATTGAACATAAATTACGAGTNTGCCGAGCAGTGAAGCAAATGTTGGCCTCCGAAGGGGTTTCAACACGTTTTCGCGAATTGCAATAAATTGAACATAAATTACGAGTAAATCATGAAATTTAATACTTTATTAATTAAATGAATTAATGGAAAGTGAGATAATTGTGCGACAAATGCAGTGATAACTGCATTAAATATATGCCTAAGAGTGATATGAATGGGGATTTGAATGCAATTAGTGGCTCATAGAGTGACTGCGACTCTGAATGCAATGAATTGCGTCGTAATTAATGCGTGGATTGTATGACGTATTTGTTGTTTGTATGAAACGAGTGTTTGTTTGTGTGATAAGCACTGACTCAACACAACCTCGACTTCACATTCAGTGGTCAGCCGGTGATCAGTGGTCTACACATCTGCAGACATTTGTGTCAACACCTACTCATCGACATCAATGCATACGATGGACAGCACCGGGAGTACGGTTCCGGCCTTCATAACAAAGTTGTGGCGATTGGTTGAGGACAACGATTACGACCATCTGATCCAATGGAATGAGGTCTGTGTGTGTCTTAAGGGTGACAATGCGATCACTCATGCGACTACGTTGTGGTCATGCAGTGTATTGTGTGAGTGATGATAGCATAAGTATATGATATGTGATGACCATTACTATGATTACTGTTTGATTGGATTTTAGTATGATTTTTGTGCTCACATTTGACTCATTTTTGACGTTTTAGTGGTTTATGTTCACCTTTTGGTCACATTTGTCGTCTATATTAGGCTTTAGTCCCGACTAGAGGTTAGAGATTGTGGTCAAAGTTAGTATGACTGCAATCAATGCTAAGTATAGCAAGTGATGTCTAATATAGTCTTAAAGTCATTCATATGAGCCATAGAACAATGAAACGTCTGAAGGTTTATATAATATATTGATGTTTGTCTCACGTTTTATGGACACGATATGTGAGATTGGATTCAATTGAATGGTTATGTAATAAAGCAAATGATTATATAATGAGATCTCAATCTATGTGCACACAATCACTGCATGCATTACGTAACTCGCAATGCATTTCATTACTCATTATTACATTAATCTAATTATTAGTTTAGTTTAAATGATATTACAGTATATTATAGTATAAGTCATAATCCACTGGCAATAAAGAGAATATTTGTGAGAATATTATGATTATTTAAAAAGCTTTGAATGTGTTTCATATACACATAAAACAAACTGACTATAAGTTTTCATTTAAATCTATAATCAAAAGTTTTTATATACATTAGTAAAATGACTTATTTCTAAGTTTTTCAAATAAAGTGGCTATACACAATTAAAAAGATTTTTTATGTCAAATGAATGTAATATCGTATAACCTAAGCATCAAGTTTACTGTTGCATTGCTTAAGTATATGATTGCAATAATCACCCAAAAGTGATGCCAATTATGTAATGTATTTGTTTGTATGAATGGCCAGAATGGGCGCAGTTTTATGATCCACGACCAGTCAAAGTTTGCCAAAGAACTGCTTCCACTGTACTTCAAACACAATAACATGGCTTCGTTTATAAGACAACTCAATATGTGTATGCATTCACACATTCACTCACTTGATATGCCACTAATCACTGAAATATATCACTCATATTCAGATGGCTTTCGCAAAGTGGCGAGCATTGAAAACAGTGGACTCCGTGCAGAACGCGATGACATCGAGTTTTATCACCAGTACTTCACTCAGGGAAAGGAATCCGATTTGCTGTTCATTAAGAGAAAGGTTTCTCTAAAAGTATTCATTTTTCATTGCCTTTTGTTTTATTCATTTTGGGTTTTATGTCAATTTTCATTATTTATTAAATCAATGCAAAGATTACTAAATAATGAGAAATGTTTGAAATATTATCAAATGAAAACTCATTTGCAAATGCACTCAACACACGTGCTCTCAACAGATTCCTGTAGGAAAGGCTGGATCTCCTTCTGACGCCCTTAAACACGAAGAGGTATCCGAAATATTACAGGACGTCGAGGCTATCAAAGGAAAACAGGGATCAATGGACGGCCTATTGTCGACAATACAGAGGGAGAATGAGGCGCTTTGGAGGGAAATCGCAATTTTGCGGCAAAAACACCACAAACAGCAACAAGTGGTCGAGAAGTTGATCCAATTCTTAGTGTCTTTAGTTCGCGGAAATATGGGAATCAAAAGGAAGGCTCAGCTTATGATCGATGACACCGAAGAGAATCGGCATTTGTTGAGGAATAAAATGATAAAACGTAATGATTTTGATTCAGACAATCCCCGATCCAATGGCCCTATCATTCACGACGTGACCGATTTGGACGACGCCATCATTAACGCCAAATCGCCGCTCATTCCCTCCTCCGACCCTTTGAGTGATTTGTGTGAAACGGCGTCTCAAGTGAGCGCATTGGCCGCCGATTCACCCACTGATCAACAAATAGGCCACTCATCCACTTCTGTACCAACTCTTCATATATTAGATCCTTTGCAGCAAAGTATTAAAGAACTGGGTTTAGAGCCCGACCCCTCACAACAGCCCATTGACGTGTCGGTGCCCATTGACGACACCATATTGCAGAGTACTCTGAATACGCCTCAGATCTCGTCCACTGACTTAGAGAGAGGTTTTGGGATAACGAACACCAATATTGATATAAAACCAAATGATATCAAAGATTTAGTGGTTTCCACGCAAAATAGCGACCAAATGATTACTCCTATAAACACAAGGTTTGCCTCAAATATGAATGAATTCATTAATTTATAGTATACTGTATTGCCTTTTAATGAATAGTGCCTTCAATGATCACATCGAGGGAATCGACGCCGAGTTGGATTGGCTACAGGACCAGATCGGCTCCGGGATCAATATCGACACATCCACTCTATTGGGGGTAAGGAGTGACTCAGGCCTCGGCCTGACTGACAATTTTTGGCTAAAACAGGTTTGAACACACATCTCATAATTGCTCTGAACAAATGTATTGCCAGTTTTATTACAGTTTTTGTTTTCATTTTTAAAATGTTTAATCAATTGCCCTGTTGAGATAACTCTAAAGTATTGCTAAATTTGATAATAAAATACTTTAATAAATTTTGTCAGAGATTTAACTTTATAATAATCAGATTGTTTTCTAATGGCTCTTAAATTATAGCTCTTTTCAATGGACGAAGACAACAGTTCCAACCCATACGGCATGTCTTATCCCAACAAACAAATCGTTGGCAATGAAGTCATTCAATTCAATCCCAACTCAAACACACTGTTCGATGACTTGGATTTGGATACTTATGGGTCCAATGATGACTCGCGAGGTAGTGGTGCTCACGAGTGTTGTACAGTATTATACATTATCTAAAATAAATGATTTTGTCTCAACTTATAGACCTCTTGGATGAGCCATTATTGCCAGACCTAGGAATTGGCGGTGAGGGCGCAGTTGGCTTTCCTTCCGAAGCCAACCTTCAACCGAAGACTTCACTCAAAGATCAGAAAACTGTGCCATAAGTGTGAAGCCGTCGATTCATTTAAATGTGAATTCATTTGAATTAATATCAAACAAATGAGACATAAATTTAGTTTTGATCTGAAAATTATTTTTTTGTGGTCACTTCTAATGAAAATATATTTTGAGGCAAAAACTATACACTAGTTCTCATTGTCTTAACTCGTGAAATGAAAATTAATTAATACCTGAAAAGACTATTCTATTACCTAATTAGGTAATGGCTTAATAAACTATATTAAACCTTATTTGTTGTTAGTATTTAATATGTTTTACAGTAAATTACTGATATATTATAGTTTTCATCACAATAATTATAAACTTATATTTGACAAAAATTTATAAATATAAAAATTAAATAAAATTTTCATTAAAATATAACTCTTCATTCACTTGAAATCTATTTAAGATCCAGACTAATAGAAAATGTCGCGAACCCTATGAAAAGGGGTTTTCTCATCAATCGGTTGACTATTTTCTCGTCTATAATCCCATAAATAAAAATCAATGATAACTGAATTAATTGAAGAGTTGTTCATAGTTTTGATGAGTTGTGTGATCCGATGGACGGCCACTATAGAGGCCGCTCTTATTTCCACTTCGTATTCGT